CCCACGATGAGTACTACCTGGCTACTTCTGATTATTCAGGGCCAAAGGGCTCGTTAGTCAGCTGGGGAGGAATCCTGCCAGGACTGGTCCTGCCCTTCAAGGCAGCAGGTTCCCTTCTGGCCCAGGGTGTGGCTAGACATGTCAGCTTGGAGCTATGGCCTGGAATATGGGCCTCAGGACTCTGCCTGGTGCCCTATCCTACTGCAGCCAAGCTGGTATCCAAGATGCAAGACAAAGTCATCTTTGTTCTTCCCTCTCTTCTTCTCAAGCAGAGGAAAGAAGTCTGTCTCTGAGCTTTGAGCTCCGCTGCCTGGGGTTGGGAGAGGGGTGGTGCAGGCAATCCCTTGGCCATCCCAGCTGGTGTCTCACTAGGTTGTGTACCCCACATTCACTGGCTCTGAGCCCAGCACAGCACCAGGACTTGCCCAGGAATTGCCATCCTTGTGGCCTAGACTGCCTTTCAAGTTTATGTAGAACCTCAGAGCACTTCAGCCCATGGTGGTGAGGCTTACTGGAACTCAGGTTCCCACTGCTGGGATGGATGATTTGCTTCCAGCTAGGGCTGGTCTGAATGATCCTCCATGGGCCCTGGGTGAGTTCTTTCCAGTGTTGCTTTGTGCTATGACTGGGCAGCACTGAGTGCCAGTGCAAAGTGTGACAATCACTGCACTCTTCTTCTCCCAGAAGCACAGATTCTCTCTCCATGCTAGGTGGCTGCTGCCGGGGAATGGGGGAGAGACAGCATTTAGCAGTTCAAGACTGTCTTACCCTCTTCAGTTCCTCTTTCAGTGATATGAAGTTAAAACCAGGTACTGTGATTGCTCACTTGATTTTTCGTTCTTATGAAGGTGCTTTTTTTGCGTGGATAGTTATTCAATATGGTGTTCCTGCAGGGAGCAGGATTAGTGGAGGCTTCTATTCAGCCATCTTGCTCTACCTTCCCTGGTTATGTCCTTTTAAATATTTATAATTGACATACAATAAATTACACTTAAAGTATACGATAAGTTCTAAAATATAACTGTGAAATCATCATCAAACTCTAGATAATTAACATATCCATCAACCCAAAAGTTTCCTCATGTTTAGATGATCTCTTTTCCCTCTAGAAACGACTCATCTACTTTCTGTCATATAGATTATAGTTTGCCTTTTCTGGAGTTTTATATAAACAGAATCATATCGTATATGATCTTTTCTGTCTGACTTCTTTTACTTACCATGATTATTTCATCCATGTTACATGTATCAACAGTTTTTTCCTTATTTGTTGATGATAATATTTCATTGTATGGATATATACTCCAATGGGTTTATTCATTTACCTGTTGATGTGTGTTGGATCATTTCTAGTTTAAGCTATCACAAATAAAACTGCTGGAAACATTAATGTCCAAGTCTTTGTTTAGACATATGCTTTCGTTTTCTCTTGGGGAAATACCTTGGGTGGAGTGGCTGGATCTAATGGCCAGTGTATGTTTAACTTTATAAAGAGCTGTCAAAGTGTTTTCCTTTTTTTTTTTTTTTTGAGACAGAATCTTGCTCTGTTGCCCAGGCTGGAGTATGGTGGTGCAATCTCAGCTCACTGCAACCTCTGCCTCCCAGCTTAAAGTGATTCTCCTGCCTCAGCCTCCTGAGCAGCTGGGGTTACAGATGCCTGCCACCATGCCCAGCTAATTTTTGTATTTTTAGTAGAGACAGGGTTTCACCATGTTGACCAGGCTGGTCTCATACTCCTGGTCTCAAGTGATCCGCCCGCCTTGCCCTCCCAAAGTGCTCAGATTACAGGTGTGAGCCACCATGCCCAGCCCAAAATTATTTATACCATTTTATATTCCCACCAGGATTATATGAGAGTTCCAGTTCTTCTAAATTCTTGCCAACATTTACTATTTTGAATAAATGTTCATTGTAAAAAAAAATTTAAGAAGGTTATATAGGGGAAAAAAAGGCCGCTGTTAATCTGTTAATTGCACTACAGGGAGACAAAGTTATTAAACTGTCATATTTGTGGCTGGGCGTGGTAACACATGCCTGTGATCTTAGTACTGTGGGAGGCTGAGGAAGGAGGATCACTTGAGACCAGGAGTTCAAGACCAGCCTGGAAAACATAGCAAGAGTCTGTCTCCACAAAAAAATTAAAAATTAAAGAAAAGGACATTGTCATGTTTGTAGACTTCCCAAATTTGCCCTCCTAGGCAAACAGTGCTCTTGTTTTTAAACAAATAGTTGTATATATAATTTTCACCCTCACTATTCAAAACATGTCATAAATGGTAAATCCAAGAAAAATACAGGTATTCCCCACCCACCGAAAACTGTAGGATAGACTTTTTTCTGTCTGTACTGTTTTTTATTGCTTTTTAAATTGGTTTTCCAAGTGAGTAAGTCAGAATCTATCTGTAATGAATTTTAAATTTAGTATTTCTCTGTGATGTAGTAAACAAGAAACTAGAGGCAAAAATAGCCCTGCCCCTTGCTAAACTTCTAAGGCACGTTTCTAGTACAATTCAACACTAACATTTCAGGCCTTTAGTGCCTTATATGAGTTTTTAAAAGGGGAAGAAGGGAGGGAGCAAGAGTGTCTCATTTCATAAACTTGTGCATAACAATTATTCTTATATTTTAGTTATTGAGAGGGCTGGTAGAAAAACTAGGTAAATAATATTAATAATTATAGCACTTATTATACACTACAGAACACGTATTATGTACCAGGCATTGTGGGAGGCTCTCTCTTGTGCGTTATCTCATTTCATTAGGTCCATGGAGAGTATTGCATTTTCTTAGTTTAGGCATGGCCTCCACAATAAGGATTATCAAAAGCCTAAAAATATGTAAAAGAAGCCTAGAAGGTTATTTGTTGTGCTCCTTGGGGAAGCTAGGCAAATCCTTTCAGCTGAAAACCATGGTGACTTCCAAGATCTCTGCCCCTCCCCAGCCCCATAGTCCACTTCCTCTTCTCACTGTTCCTCTTAGAAAAGACCTGTGGATTCCGCCACTACGAAATGGCAGCACCTTATTTACGGTCACTTTAGAGTGTAGGTTTTCTTAATGGGTCTGCCTGTCATGTTTAACGTCCTTGGCTGAGTCCAAACTCTCACTAAAATTGCCAAGCCCTTTGTCTTCCAGTGTCTAAATTATGAATGTCAATGGAATCAGGCCAGAGTTTGAATTCTAGTCTCTTAGCCTTTGTTTCCCCTGTTCATAAAACGAATGGGGGAATTCTTTCCTCCTACAGTTTATTTATATATTCACTAATTCATTCATCCATCCATCCATTCATTCATTCAGTTTACTGAGTACCTACTATGTGCCAGTCCCTGTTCTAGGGTGGAAACTAAGAGAATGTTGTACCTGGAGGGTGCTGGAAGCTCTAAAGCCCTAAGCAGTTACTGCTTTTACTATTAGTGGTTCTCCCCCACCCCCCACAAATCAACAGAACAAAGAAAATTACCTAAATAGCAAGGACACAGGGAGGAACTTCTTGGCTCAGAACTTTCCAAACACTTTTTCCTGAAGGGATTCAAGAAGCAAGAAAGGTACTCGTTCGCTAGGACCTTCTCTGAGCTGTGCTCAGAATGCGTCTGGGACTATTTTTCTTGCCCAGAGAATCGAGAAACGCTGCAGCGAATTCCCGAGCTGTAGTTATAAACCGAAGTTCTCCTGCTAGGTAGCATTCAACGATCTTAATCTTCTGGGTTTCAGTTTTCTCGAATGAAAAATGCAGGTCCAAGTCCTTAACTGGCTGGGGCACCATTAGCAAGTCACTTAGTATCTCTGGGACCAGTTTGCAATGCGAGGAGGGGGCCTTAAGGTGCCTCCAGCTGAAGTCCTAGAATGAGCGCCGCGTGTCCCAAGCTGGGGCGCGCACCCCAGATCGGAGGGCGCCGATGTACAGGCAGCAAACCCACCCAATCTAGTGCATGCCTTCTTAAACATCACGAGACTCTAAGAAAAGGAAACCGAAAACGGGAAAGTCCCTCTCTCTAACCTAGCACTGCGTCGCTGGCTTGGAGACTGGTGACGGTCCCCGCGGGCCTTGCCCTGATTGGCTGGGCTCCCACGGAATATAAGTGGAGGCGTCGCGCCCGGCGGGCATTCCAGCGGCAGACAGCACCCGGGCCGAGATGTCTCGCTCAGTGGCCTTAGCCGTGCTGGCGCTACTCTCTCTTTCTGGCCTGGAGGCTATCCAGCGTGAGTCTCTCCTACCCTCCCGCTCTGGTCCTTCCTCTCCCGCTCCGCACCCTCTGTGGCCCTCTCTGTGCTCTCTGGCTCCGTGACCTCCCTTCTCCAAGTTCTCCTTGGTGGCCCGCCGGGGGGCTAGTCTAGGGCTGGGTCTCCGAGAAGCGGTGGGGTGGCCTGGGAGTGGGGAAGGGGGTACGCACCCGGGACGCGCGCTTCTTGCCCCTTTCGGCGGGAAGCAGGGGAGACCTTTGGCCTACGGCGACAAGAGGGTCGGGACAAAGTTTAGGGCGTTGATAAGCGTCAGAGCGCCGAGGTTGGGGGAGGGTTTCTCTTCCGCTCTTTCGCGGGGCCGCTGGCTCCCCGAGCGCAGCTGGAGTGGGGGACGGGTAGGCTCATCCCAAAGGCGCGGAGCTGAGGGCTGTGAATGCGTGGAGGGGCGCCTGGGGTCTGGGGAAGGCGTCGCCCGGGTAAACCTGTCTGCTGCAGCTCTGCTTCCCTCGGACCGGAGAGCTGTGGACTTCGCTAGGAGCCGCTAAGTTCGCCTGCCCTGCACCTCCGGGTCT